TCCGCGAAGCGAATAAGGCCGTAGTGTCTAATTGTAACCATTGGACAGGAATAGAGGAATAGAGTTAACGTGCTCCTACTCCAAATGTAAAATAAATCATAGAACTTGTATTTACAGGAGTTTATTACAAAAGATTATTTTTTGTGAGTTTCTCTGATAGAATCAGAAAAATTAAACTATCGGTAATTTTTTATTTTCAGTCGTCGCATCTGTATCAAAAATTGTCTATTTTACATGCATTATTAATCTGATATGATTTTAACATGATTCAACAGTAAAAAAATGACACTATTAATAAGTTAGACCTATAAGAGAAACTTCCTCTTTCTTTTTATGTTTGGTATTTAAAACCACAAAAAAAATGCAGAAAAATTCTCTCGCTCTAAATTAATAATGGAAATTTTAGAATAAATTATATTCTAGTGAATAAAAAAGCAATTAAAATTGGAAACGGTAAGCATAAAATGATAAGCCAAGTTTGGAAGGTCAAAACAGAGACAGTCTTTCCTTTCAACGCTTGAAAGCATGGATTTGCCGTCACTAAAAAGTTAGTCTGAATTGCATAATGAGAAATAATTAGGGCTGTGGTCTGCCACACTAATTAGCTTATATAAGAATCAATTATGGCATTCCACATGACCCATAAAAAGAGGCAAATCATGTTCAATTGCCTAGACAAATTGCACCCCATAAAGCCATTCTAAAATTAACAACCGGAAAGTATTTTTTTTAATGCTTTTTTTTTTCTCAGAATTATATGATAAGATATGGAAAAAAATAAATATAGATAACCATCTTCGTGTGCTCATTAAATTTTGTTTATATATATTAATCTGATATGATTTTGAGATATTAATATGAAACTTTATTTTTTGTCATTTGAAGCTGAAAATGTAATTTTTTTCGCATTTCCATGTAAAACAATAAAAACGTGTGTGTAATACTTAAGTTTGTTGAAGTGTAACACTCAATATTACATGTGTTATACCGTATTTTTTAGTGTTACACTAAAACAAATTAAATGTTAAACATACGTATATTACATGAGCATAAAAAGAAAAGTTATACATGCCTTACTGGCCTGTGTATCCATTAAAGATAGTTCTTATGTTATATTATATTTATATTTTAAAGAGCACATTAGAATGGTACATGATTGCTTTAGTGGAAGGACAAGAGCCTGGTGTTGTTTTATTATGCTAGAAAAGGAGGTGCTGAACCACAAAAGGCTTAGATCACACAGGGGACAATTTTGAGCCTAAAGTGAAGAATTTTTTTCTTGGATATAAAGACCACTAATCTCAAAATCAAAACCCTTTTTTTTTTTCTTTCCTCTGTCTATCATTTCACTCGTCCAAAGACCAAAGTCCTAAGAAAGACACATTTTTATCTTTTTCCCTAAATTCCGGATGACCTTTAACGCCAAGAAAAAGGTATATGTGCCTGTTTTTGGAGAATGTGCAAAATTCCCATCTGACCCAAAAAGTCCCCTGTCAAATTAAGCCTAAAAAAAAAATTTGAAACAAAGTTTGGGATAGAGAGAAAGCTATATATATATGTGTGTATATATATATATATATATATATTTTTTTTTTTTCTGTGTGTGAAGCAATCCCCATTTGTGTAGGGGAAAATGCAAGTACTTTAGCTAGTCTTCCATTCCAACTAGCTCACACACCTTTTCAGAAGAGGACTTGACTGGCCCTTTTTTTTCCCCCCTTCAAATGGCAAAACACTTGCACCAAAACTTCCAACCAAAGGAAGGCATATTTCCCACTTCACATTTTTTTTTTTTCAATTTCCTATTAATGTTTTTGTGTTTGTTTGGACAAGTGCTATAAATAAATTAAAAGAGAACCTATTAATCTTATGCAAATAAATAAATTTTAAAAAAACCAGTTGATATTTTTAATGGATAATCACAAGTGCTATAATATTAGAACCATGCAGAGATTTCCCCCCTCCCCTACCTATGTAACTATTTTTAGTCACATGAATTCATCATGATACCATGTTCTACATGCACATTTTCCATAATTAAGATGGGGTATAATGAAACCAATTCTATCTAATTTCTTATTTTTATTTCCCTTCAAATCTTTAGTGGATGAGTCAAGGGTCATAGATTCCATGTCATTCTTAGAAGAAAGAGAAGGAAGAACAACATATTTTAATCATATGATACTTGTGAATCTCTCTCTCTCTCTCTCTCTTTCTCTCTGTATATTTATAGTTGTATAATTTTTTGCTCCCATTTGAAATAATCACTTTTTCTCCATGTTTTTAGATCTATTTGGTCCATTATACAATTATAACAAACAAGCCGTGACAATGACCAGTGACAAAGATTGCAGGGTGTGGAAATTCTAAAAGACCAGAAAAGAGGTTGACCCAATTTGCTTATCATTAGTTTATGTCATTCCCAAGGCCATTTAGGCACGTTAAGTTCAATCAAAAGGGTATGAAAAACTATGCTTTTAAAAAAAAATGAATAAAGAACCTATAGGAAGTGCTAATAAAAATGTATCATTGTCCCACTTATAGCTTTTGTTTGGGCAGTTTAATCCACCATGCTTTACAAGCGTTTTCTAAGCTTTTGATTGCCTTTTGACCTTACCTTTTCTTGAATACTTTTGGAGACAGGACACAATGACCCATTTCTCATTGCATTCTGCTATCTTTTCCTTGAAAAGATTTTACTTATGAGTCAGCTTCCAAGGACCTTAATAGCAGAAAATAGAATGCCCACAATATCTTTTTGCTACAGTTCTAATCCTTCTCCAATTTTATCACTTAGATCCTGTTTAGATTGTGTTAGGTAGCTCATACTTGTTCAAAACTCTATAATAGACAATTTTAGGTTTATCATGTACCATTTTCTCCCAAGTGGGTAAGGACTGTTTGCGAAAACTAAGATGGGTGTATAAACAGCCTAAATCTCAGTTGCTGAATGATAAAAGAAAAAAAAAAGATCCATTGCAAAAAAAAAAAAAAAAAAAGTTTTATTTGAAAAAATATTAATTGTTTTTATTATATCTTTTTATCATCTAACAACAGAAATTAGGTTGCATAATATGATACAATCTAAATCTCAGCCACCATATGATAAAAATATACAATTAGACATTATAAAAAGAAAATCAATTTTTAGTTAAAAAAATTTCGATGCTACTAGGGGCTCTGGGGAAGTCGGAATAAGAGAGCACTCATCGTGGGGTGAGCTTACTACTTAGATGCTTTCAGCAGTTATCCACTCCACACCTAGCTACTCAGCATTTATCGTGGGCACAATAACTGGTACACCAGAGGTGCGTCCTTTTTCGTCCATTCGTATTAGATAAAGGTCCTCCTAATACTCTAACGCCCACACTAAATGTGGACCGAATTGTCCCACAACATTCTGAACCAAGCTCACGTACCGCGTCAAATTACTTATTTTCATATTTCACCGTCTAAAAGTGAGTTACATGGTAGATCATAAAAAATATTAATCACTCAATCATTTGGATTGTGTCCATCATGATCCAACATAACATGCTTGAGTATCTTTTAACTATTTATTTGTACCATGTGAAACCCACTTGAACACTTGAATGAAACATGCCATTCTAGCATATAGACTGAGGTCAACTACTGCTAATAATCTATAAGTTCAGATTAACCAAGTACCCTAGATTCCTAGTATGGAAAAATACCAATAAAAACAATCAAGAGGTTTTATAAACCAACAAACTAACAAGTATTAGGACCTTGACTTATGGGCCCTTATTTGGAGTTGTTTCCATGATCAAGGACAGGAAATTCCTATAAGAATATGTTGAGTTGTTTTCATGTAATCGTTTTTGTTTGGTTAGATATTATCCTAACTGCTCCCTTAGAAAATCATGTAAGCAGACAAGAAGTAGCAAAGAATTCCACTAATTTATTTTGCATAAAACGCGGATTTACATGTGCAATATGTTAGAAAAGTAACACTAAACATGTACAAGACATTCCAAAATATTAGTGCTCCAAAATTCAAATATTTTAGACTTCCTAGGAGTAGTAAATATAAGCAGACAAAAGCCACGAAGCTATTTTCCTTTTTCTGGTTTTATCAATATGACTAAAATTTAATCCAAGTTTTAAGGGATTTCAATCCCACTAACAGCTTAAGAAACGGTATTTTTGTAAAATTTTGACATTTCAACATGAATATTGGATTCTTTCACAACCATGATTTCAACAATGTCAATACTTAACTTTTGGTCAGATGTAATCTAGATTATTCACTAGCCCTGCACGTGATCTGATCATATTATAAGATTCAAATTCATCTTATCTTTAACAAATCCCAACATTTACTTTTTTTTTTTTTTTTTGTTTTTTAATGAAAATCCCAATAACCTTACATTGGCATGATGTAATATTTATCTCATTAGTAAAAGCTTCTACAATAGTTGTTGAAACTTAAACTCCAATAAGTTAGCAAAACAGTATAATATTCTTGAATTAGTGTCAGAAACAGTAAATATATTTTTATAGGCTCCTATTTGGAATTTGGAACTTGGGGTGAAAGAAAGTGACTGTTGCAAAGAAATATTCATATCAGCAGAACAGTTAATATATATATACACCTCCATATTAAGTTCCTCGACAACAGAAGTATTTTCACGTTTAAGTTCTAGCTTATAAGTATTTTGGGCGGAAGGGATATAGGATTATATAGAAACTAGAAACAGAAAAGAAAGATTTTTAAAAAGTGGGGTGAAAAGAAGAAATTTAAAAGGAGAAAAAAAAGGGGGATGGCCTTCCAAAGAATGACAACTGAGATGTCCTTTTCTTTCTGTCCATGATCAAATCAGAGTCTTTAAAAAGACTTCCTTACAAACAACTTACAAACACACTTTCATTTCAAAAACTTACAAAAAAACCTTTCTTCTAACACCCCCATATCTCTTCTTCACTCACTTTCTCTCAACCATTTTCTCTACTACTTTTTTTTATTTTCCTTTTCAGTTATGTCCTCATCCAAAAGCTTTGATAAATTTCCCTTGAGAGGGTATGAAAGTGGAGAGTCTCAAGTGGGATTTGCCATACTTCAACGCAACACATCTCCAACACAACCTGGTGAGAGAAGAGGCAGGAGAAAGCAGGCGGAGCCAGGGCGGTTTCTCGGCGTGAGAAGGCGGCCGTGGGGACGATACGCCGCCGAGATTAGAGACCCAACAACCAAAGAAAGGCATTGGCTTGGCACTTTTGACACTGCCCAAGAGGCTGCTCTTGCTTATGACAGGGCTGCCCTGTCCATGAAAGGCACGCAAGCAAGGACCAACTTTGTTTACACTCATAATACTAATAATAATAATAATAATTATACTCACAACACCACTTTTCACTCTCTTATTAGCCCTTTTGATGTCCAAGCTCTTTTGCCACCTTCACAGTTCATCTGCAGCACCACTCATAGTAGTACCAAACAAACCACCAATCAAAACAGTCCACCTCAGCCAGCTGTCAAATGTCAGAATCATGAGACCCCAAATCAATCCCATTATAATGATCATCAAACCTCATATGGGTCATCACCAAATGATCACGACATTGACAATAACTTCTTTTTCTCCAATGATTCCAATAACTCAGGCTATTTGGGCTGCATTGTTCCTGACAACTGCTTGAGACCACCTTCCTCTTCCACTTCTTCTTCTCCTGATATTCCCACTGAAAGCAACTCCAAAACAAGTGATTTCAGCCCTTCAAATGACCAAAACTTGATCACAAACACTTTTGAGAATACTAAATCACATTGGGATATCCCATCAAATATGGCTTCAAATAATGGTGAGCTTATTCCTTGGTTGGATGAGTTCAATCTGCAGGGATTTTGGGATAATAGCCAGCAGTCATGGGATTTAAGTTCTGCTGATCTCTCAGCCACGATCAGCTCCAATACATTGATGCAAGAAGGTGGGTGCATGGGAAGTTTTTATCCCATCATGGAAAATCCTATCTATGGCTTAATGGCTTCTTCCACTTCTTCAGTCTCTTGCTCTCCATCAGTTCCTCCTTTTGGTGATGTAGTTGACTTGGGACACTCTCTCTTTTGAGTATTATATATATATATATATATATATATATATGTAGTGTGCATCTGTTTATATATAGGTGCACTAGTAACTCCACTTTTCATTTCATATCCATGCACTACTTGTTCTTCTTTCTTTTAAGTCTTGAGTTTTTCTAGCAACTCTTTCATTTTCTATGTAACTACCTCAAGAACATTCCAAATTTGACAAGAAAAAAGATGCTTGGAATGTACTACTGCAGTTTAACAAGGTTTTTAATGCAGCAAGTTTTTCTGTCATGGTAAGTGTAATATTTGCATGATATATAATATATTATACTACTTTCTAGCTCTTTATGGCTAATGATATAAATGGCGCTTTCTCTTTTCAGCTACCTCTCTATTATCATTTGTAAGGCAACCCCAGATGAAAAATTATGCAAATAATGACACTTTCATTCCCTATTTGTATTGCTTTGTAATATTTTTTCTTCATTGACTTTTCTGAGTGGTGAAGGGTTATGTTTGAAATCTCAAAGGTCGGTGCATCAAGCCATGCTGACAAAATTCAAATCCCTATTTATAATTATTTTTAAGTGGGGTTTTAGATATTAGAGGTGAGAATATAGGAGCTTGGCGTGATTGCTTAAAAATCCATAGTCCCAACTTTTGAGGAATATATAGGATCAATACTTGATTGAGTGTTGTTTTGTTATTGTTTCTTAAACTTTATTTTGTAGCACTCATTTTGTACTAGCCCTAGGGTTATAATGCTCAAACTCAAGTGCTACAGGTTTTTAACTGTGAAGAGTGAAGTCAGTCAGTTACCATTTGAAGTTTCCAACTTAGTAAATTGCCTTATCGACTTTAAATAGTGGCATATTTAATAGTATAAGGTCCTAGATTTGAGCCCAAACTATGATATTATAACTTACTAGTAAAAGAAGTTACTTTTACTTAATTAGCTCCCTACTTGGTTGTTTAAATAAACTGGAGAAAATGAGGTTAAAGCATTGAAAAAGAAAGGCTTTATATCGTAAACTTTTGGCATGGAAATTTTAGATTAACCATTTTTGAGTATGGTTTTCAACACACACACACAAAAAAAAAAAAAAAAAAAAAAAAGAAACACTCTTTTGAGTATGGAAAATGTGTCAAAAAGACAACATGGGATAAAATTAATTGGCGTTTTAGATTCAAGTGGGCATTTTAGTTGCTGCTTTTGATCTTGTGGTCCAATGACATGGTTAGTTCCTTTAGTTTTTGTCCTTTTTTTTCCTTTTGTTTCAACATTGACATGAGTATTTTTTATGCGAAAAATTGCGGATTCGGAATTAGATGATGTTTGTGATAAAGCCGATTGGTAATAGACCTTAGAGAATTTTCCATTTTGAGGAGTTAATATCATGAGAAAAATAACGCATATATTCCGTACCAAGGTTGATACCCGGAACTCTTCCACGTCAAGGTTAATTGTTTCAGTCTTTTGGAATTTGTAATATTTCCAGATATTTACAAAAAGATACAGTTTTGTTACTACTTAAGCAGTTAGGGACCATAATTGATTTATCGGATAGCCGAAAATTCTAGTCAGGTTGTCGTGTAGTGGAAAAGTCGGCAAAAAGCGACAAAGCAAATAAGGTTTAAATCACTTTATACAGAAACCAAACCCAAAAAGTACTGCCCAAAAACAGAGAGAGAGAGAGAGAGAGAGAGATTTACATGACCCAGTTCTGAATGGCCAATGTCATGCCAAGAAACAGCTTGAATGGAGCAATGATCACAATCATGAAAGTCATTATTATTTGCTTTTCATGCTGTTTAACAAGAGTAATGAAGATTTATCTCCATCATCTCATGCAAACTATAATCAATTTCATGACTTTATTTGCTTCCATAAATCTAACTAGTATTTGAGATGAACAAAAAAAAAAAATAATAATAAAAAAAAAGCAAGCAGAAAATAAACGAAACCAATCCCCTTGATAAACGGGGGAGACAAGAGGAGAAGAAAAATGTCGCACAGTCAAGACTTCTTAATATATTTTGTATTTCATAATAAAATTATCAATAAACAGGTCAAGCATTTCAGTTGCCACAACATACCATGTATCTAATCACATATAAAGTAGCATTTTTTTTAATGCCTCCTTGTGGTCTCTGAATTACTTCTGTTTTTCTTTTCATTTTTCATTTTTTTTTTTTTCAGAATGGACCTTGGACCCCAAAAAAAAAAAAAAAAAAAAAACTGTGAAAACAAGAACTTCAAATCCCTAAGTTGAATTGGAAGCTTGCTCTGGATTGAAGGAAAAATCGAAAAGGATAGATATGAAAACACGGTCAGTGTAAAAGGAAGAGAACCGTGGAATTGGTCTTTCATTTTTGAAAGAGACAGGAGCATAATGAACACAACAAACTCTTAAAGTGGAGAACTGGATGCAGATTTGCCTAACAGAACTGCAAGATTTTCATGGTTATTCATGAGCAATTTTGGGAGGCTATATGGGGTTTGCTAAACTTTTCGATGGGTTGGCCATTGGTTATTCAAGATAAAAGAAAGGAATGGCCAAATATAAAGATTTATATGAACACAGGGCTGGATTGTATGCTAGGACTTAAATTGTGAAACCGTGATAAGTGAGATATGAAGCCTCTGTTTAAGGGCTTGCACCCAAAAAAAAAAAATGATGCTTTGGTTGGAGAAATTTGATGAAAAAGGAGAATGAGAAATTGCTTGGTGTCGCTTAGCTTGAAGTTCGAGACTCTGTGCTGGTGCTGCTATTGCCACCAGCTGAAGTGCCAGCGTTCTGAGCAGACTGTTGGAGACTTGAATGGGAGACTGAACCGCCCTTTGAGAATGTTGAACCAACTGATCCACTGGAGGTGCTCATTGTGGATGACATTCTGGCTGATGAAGTGGTGTCCTTAATGGATGCCACATACAGTTCAGGACGCAAGTCTGACGATGAGGATGATGGAGCTAGTGTACCAACAGAGGATCCAACTGGGTAGGGCGCGACTGGCATATCGGAAAGAGAAGATGCCGATGGACTATAACTTAATGTTCCCATTGGATGGTTGAATTTGCATGCAGCCCCAAACTTGCATACTCCTTGTTGTGCGTAGTGAGTGCAAAGTGGAGCATCCTGATTTTCAGATAACATGCCACATTACCAATAAAAACAATTGGATAACATAAAAGGGGAAGGGGCGTGGAACAAAAAGTACTCATTTTTAAAAATAGATTGCCAGTCAAAGAAATCGGCATATTGGTTAACAAAAGACAAGAATTTGGAGTCTTAACAACCAAGAAGACAGATGTGAACTATTAAGGGCAGAGGGCAAAGCATGAAGAAATAACAGGACCCTGAATAATTTCATCATCAAGGCATGCAAGAAGGCTAGAATATTGGGACTGGAGAAAAGACGGGCAAATTTTTGCATATGCTAGCTTACCTTAAATATAGAAATTTACATATTAAGGCCAGGGGACAAGAATATTTTGAATTACCTTGCAAGAGGAACAAGAACAACCAGCCAAAAAGAACACCACACGTGCACTCTATACTAGATACTATGGTAGATGACAAGGGAATGAACATGAAAATGCATGGAATATAGATCTTCCTTCATCAAATCATAATTGAACGTGAAAAATACCTCGACGGAATTGCTAACATGTTTGATGAAAGATAACAGCAACCATGTCGAGTGTTTAATATTAAAGTGTGCTATGTCAAATATATTCAACAAGTCCTTCCAGACATTTTCTCACACCATGTAGATACTTAAAAGTGAAATCCATATAGCCGACTCCAAAAAAGATGGGATTAAGGCTTGTTGTTGTTGTTGTATGTCAAATATATTCAACAAGTCCTTCCAGACATTTTCTCACGCCATATAGGTACTTAACATTTTACAGGGATAATACCTAGTCAAGCATAAGCTTTTCAATGTGGTATAAAGAAACACTAAGAAGCTCTAATAAATGCTTACTTGACGAATTGGAAGACCAGCAGGGCTAAGAACGACAGTTGTTTTCGGTGCAGTAACATCATATGGATGATGGTATCTACATGAGGATCCAAATTTACAATCCCCTGTTCTCATGAAATACTGGCATTCTGGTTGTCCAGGTCTGTCGGGAAACGGGTTTTCCTTCTGGCTGCTGATTGAAGGACCAGAAGGAGAAGGCATAGGTTGATACTGTCCAGTATATGCAGGTGCTGAAGGCGACAGTTGAGTAACCCCATAAACTGTCCCTGAACCAAGAGGGTGTTGATTGCTAGGAGAGGGTAAGGGGCTTACAGGCGCCTGCACAACATGGTTGAACACTAGATCAAAATACATGTAACTTCAAATGAATAGTCGAGAAAAGAAGTTTTACTGACCATGTAAGGACCGCCCCAACTTGGAAATGGTACCATGCCGGGGGAAATCAGCATGGGACCATAAGGGCCTTGGACATATGAGCCTTGCACCAAAGGAGGCCTTGCAACGACTACTCCATACTGTTGTGATGAGGAACCGGATGGAGACTGCATCGGCGGATACAATGCTGGTGGTGGAACTGGCGCTGGCACAGGTGGAACCGGAGCTGCAGGTGATTGGACTGGAATTTGTATGCCAGCCAGCTGCGGATGATGAAATTTACATGATGCACCAAACTTGCACTGTCCAGTCTTCACATAGTAGGAACACTCTTTCTCTCACCCTGTTTTATTCGGAAAAAGTATAATAAAATCAAGATATTGCCAATTTCATCGCATGCCGCCACCAAGGAACACTGTTTCTAATAAGGAAATAAATTGGAAAAATGCATACAAAAATATGGAAAAACAAATACCTGTCGTAACGGATATCCATAATAATTTAATGAAACAGGGGCAACAGAACCTCCTCCCTGCCTAGGATGATGGTACTTACAAGACGCACCAAATTTGCATGTCCCTGTCCTCATATAGTACTGCCAATTGAGAAAGCAAATCACAATCAAATCAAAGACAAAAAAAAAAAAAAAAAAAAAAAAAAAAACTAAACTCCAAATTTTTAAAAAAAAAAAAAAAAATTTATAGACTTGACCTAAATTCTTACAAATAAAAACAAAAATCTGAATGCAGTGTCTGGCTGAATCAACAGAATGTGCATTGCCAAAGAACAGCCATTTGGCATTATAGCATAAAACCCACAAGATTCAAAATCATTTTTAACAACCCCATTAAAGTACCTGGCATACAGGCTGACCAACTCGCTCTGGATACTCACCACCACCAGCTCTAGCAGCTCCCATAGCCTGACAAGTATATATATATATATAAATATAAATATATATTTCATAATTGACTAACAGAAAAGACAATACAAAAATATCCGATCGCATAGTATCTACACAGATCCAAGTAAAAAAGTTCTATATAACAACAAAATTTACGTGTTGTGAAACAAAGTTCAGAGAAATCACTGCAAATCCCAAAATTGAATCCACATGCAAAAAACCACAATTTTTCTGAGACTTGCAATTCCAAGATCAAACAAAATTGGACCGAGAAAACCGAATGATCACGCGAAGAGCCAATCAAAACACATCCATTAACCCACAAATTCAACGAATTCGAAGCGAAAGAAACACGAAAATTCGATCGAATTACCGCGCCGCGGTCGCGAGGATGGTTGAACCGACACCGAGAGCCGTAGCCACAATACCCAGTCCTCAAGTAGAAGATGCAATCGGCCTCGTCGGGTCTCTCCGGGTAGGGCTCGTCGCCACCCAAGCCGAGCTGCCAAACGGACTCTGCATTTAGAAATAGAGAGAGAAATCGGGATCAAACCTAGCTCGGAAACAATCGAAATGCCTCATCGCATTCCTCTCGAAACCTCGAATCGCGACGAAATTGGGACGGAATTGAAATGTAGGGCGAAAATGGAGCTCACCTTCGAGCCCTGGCTCGGCGCCGGTGGCGGTCCACTCCGGCGGCGGATCGGACGGAGAACCTTCCGTCGTACTCCGACCGTACCGCTCCATTGTACGGACGATGGATTACACAGTCTAGAGAGAAAGAGTGAAGCAGCGAATGGCTGATTGTACAGTAATCTAGGATTGTTCTAGAATATGGTGCTCTGTGCAGGGGAATGAGAGGTTCTGATCAAATGGAAGTGCCTTAAAAAGGAGAAAGTAGAGAGAGAGAGAGAGAGGAGAGAGAATTTACTCGAGAAACAAACACTCCTCTCACTCCCCCGAAAATAGAAAAGGAAAAAAAGAAAAACTATTAGATTGCCTTCGTTTAACTCTCTCTCTCTCTCTCTCTAACTTTCTCTCTCCTCTTCTTCTTCTTCCTCGCTCTCAGTCACAGACAGTCTCTGTTTTTGGAGCTTTTGGCTTTTGCTTCTCTTTCTCTCCCTATCAGTTTTCAAAGGGCTTTTGTTTTTTCCATTACGTAACCCTGAGAGAAGAGAGAGAGAGAGAGAGAGAAAAAGTTTCCCTTTTTTTTCTTTTTTATTGATTTTTTTTTATTGTCTGTTATTTATTAATTTTATTGGTCTTGGGAAAGTCTGTTAGTTTTATTACGCGCCAAACGTGGCCTAATTCTAAAATTACAGAAACTAATTAAGTATTAAATATTAAAATATTAAATTCATTTTTTAATTATTTTTGCACTTTTTCTTGTGTGTGAGAGAGAGAGAGAGAGAGAGAGTTAGGAGGAAGAACAGGTAGAGAGCAGTTTCGGTGAGTGTGAGAGGGAGTTTTGTTGTTGTGCTTGCAAAATGACGTGTTTGCCCTCGTGCACTTAAAAGCACGTGACTTTTATTTTAATTTTAATTTTTTTAAAAAATAGGAGAAAAAACATGAGAAAAAAGTGTTGGATATGAGATGAGATGACAGAGGTCGTTTAGTTTTTTTTGTTGTTGATGTTGTTTTGGCAAAGGAAAGAGAGTAACTACAAAAAGGTAATGATGGGATTAATTAAATCCTCTGCGGTTAAAAAAAAAAAAAAAAAAAAAACTAACTAAAAGTTGTTCCCTCCACGTGGCGCAAGAGGAGGCCTTCCATTGAATTTGATCATTTTTTTTAAATAAAAAAACAAAGAACCACCACCACCAATGTCTATAAAGTTTTTATTAAATTGTTACCTTTTATATGGTATTGTAGAAACTGTTTTATTATAATGGTATTTTCTTTTAAAGTTTCTTAAATAGGATAAAAAAATGAAACTATCTGTTAACATGTATCAAAAATTGTATATTTTACATATTTATTTTATTTAATTTTGATTAAATTAAACGGTCGGAAAATTAGTCTTATAATAGAATATCCTACCAGACAAAGTCGTCTTTTTTTTTTTCATATCCTATTATATAATTTATCAAAAAAAATTGTTACTTATTAAAGCCTTCTTTTGCTCATAATTTATTATTTCAGTTTACTTTCTCTTTTTTTTTTTTTTTTGGGGGGGGGGGGGGGTTACTTGCCAATGGATATAAAGGCTTGCATAATGAAACTATATTAAAAAAATATAGTAATAATTGTAACAGTTTTAAAAATGACTTTTCATGGTATTAGTTAGGAAAAATCTAGTCAATTAATTTATTTGGACACTACTCAAACGTGTTATTTTGAAACAATAGTATTTTTTTTTTCATATAGTCAACCATTACTGTTACTAATTTATTAGCAGAAGTATTATGTGCATATATTCTTTTATGATCAACACAAATATGATACTCATGTACTTCTAAATGGTGAGTTAAGATATGAACTAACAATAACAGTAACGTCAACGTGGTATTTTTAAAAAAGAAATTTATGGGGCTAAATTTTCCCTAATTAGTTGAAAAAACTCATTTAAGTTTGGGATTATTTGGACAAAACATACAGAGTCCTTAAATTTAACAAAATGGAAAATTAAATGTCATTAGTTAGCCTAAGTTATTTTACATGCTAAATTAATGAACTATGTGAATCAAGTATATGGATACATAAATAATGTTATTGAGCATAGAGGTGTACAACAAGAGCTAGATAATTTTTATCCAGAAATTAAATTATTTATTTAAAAGAACTTTTTTTGATACGCCAACATACTGGTAGGTCATGTTTTATATTCGTCAGATCTGCATAAAATCGCCTAAAAATAAAAAAAATATGCAAATATAATAATTTAAAAACTCTAATTTACCGATACGTCAAACGTATTATAGAATCTTTCTTACTCAAAACCCATTATGAATTTGTTGTTGTATTTTTTTTTTCATTGACATATATATACACACACGTAAATACATATAGTGTGCGGGGGGAAATGGGACAAGCAATTATAAGTCACATACTTTTTAGAGGATGAATGAGATTTCAGCACTTTTTCAAATTTCAGTCAATCACGTCCTAATCTCATGGGAAAATACATACATAAACAGAATCATAGATCCACCGGTGAAAAATATTTGGTCGCCCTCCTCTTTTAGCAGCCTTTTCCCACTCCATATTTATTTATCTAATTAATTAATTAAGGTCTCGTTTATTTCACCGATTTAAATTTTCAGTTATAGATTTTTACAGTTAAAAACTCCCAAAAAATGTAACATCTAACTTTTTTTACTACAGTTAAAAGCTATTAAAAAATGTCGAATTGAAAATTTGAATCCGCGAAGCGAACGGAACCTAAATGTGATTTTATTTTAATAAAAAAAATAAGTCCATGTCAATGAACGTAAAAATATTTTATTATGAAAAGGTAACCATTTTTCAATTAATTGATGAAAATGTAAGAAAAATAAATAAATAAATAAAGGAGAGAGTTTGTTGGACACATTGGGAATTACACGTATTTGTAACTGTAAAAGGCTGCCTGAAGTAGGAAACTAGGGACTTTAGGATTTGGACATTTTTCAGCGGCGTTATGCTTCTTAATTCTCACAAACCAAACCACTTACAAAGTGAAACGTGTTTGTGAAGACCACAAATTTCACAACTACTATCTCCATCCTCTCTCAATGAGCGTCGAACCACGCGCGCAGGCGTCCGTACACCCAGATACAATTCCCGAGAGAGAGAGGGAGAGTGATTAGTGTTTTTTTTAGAGAATTAATGAAAAATCATTGGACGTGTTTAAAGTTGATATTGTTTTTATTTTTTATATTTTTTAAAAAAGAAAAAATGAAAATAAGAGAGAAATGCATTTAGCACAATTAAAGATAAAAAATGAAAATGAAAATGATTTTTTATTTTAGTTTAAAATATGAGAGAAATAAAAAATGATTTTTAGATGTTTTTCATTTTTTGTTTCTGCTTTCTCATTTCTCGAGCACAGAATGAGAGAGAGAGACATTAATGGATTTTTTATAGTGAAAATAATATCTAGATAAAACTACTAAACATATTTTTAAAAATAATTTATGTCTGAGATTGAAAACATTTTTAATTTCATTTTCATACAAAAAATAAAATCATTTTGAAACGAGTTCTAAACGAACTCATTATTTCTAATGTACTTCATAATCAATCAGTAAATCTCATGGTTATTGAGTTATTAACTAAAAAAATTCATAAATTTCATATTTCTGAATAAATACAAGCGTTTACTTGAGTAAAAAATTACACTATATGATAAATTTATGAGAGTTGAGTTGAAATATATAATTTTTAGGGTTAATCTCACAAATAGTCTCATAGTCTGATTTTAGTTTACCTTTGGTCTGATTTTGGTTTCTGACTTTTAAAACATCTCATAGCTAGTCCCTAAGGTTTTATTATGTTTCACTTTTGGACATTCTATTAGTTTGATATTAAATATTTGACAGAATATGTAGAAATTAAGGACCAAAACTGAAAACATATAAAGTTTAATGACTAAAACGATACAAAAGAATAATAACTATTTTTAAATTTGGTCCATACTTTATGTAAATTGTGGTACGTTTGAAAAGTCAACGACCAAAGTAAAATTATAATAAACCTTAAGAATCATTTGTAGAATCAACCCAAACTTTGATTATATGTCTAAAAAGATATTTCCATTACTAATATACAATGTGGCCATATACTAAATTAAGAAGAGAGATTATTTGGTACGCATAGCATACTGATAAGTTAGTTTTTTTAACCGTTAAATCTTCATATTTTTTTTTATTTTTACTTGATTTTATATAAATTTAACAGATAAAAAACTTGACTTATTGATACATTGACGCACCGAGAAAAGTTTCAATTAAGAAATGAAATATAGGATATTAAATATTTATTATAATTTTTGAATAAAAGATGCTTGATTGCCGTGCGGTTATAGAAAGGTGGGCTCGCACTAATTGATAGGACTTGCTCCTTTTATGAGGAGATGAGAATCTATAGATGCTCCCTAATTCTACAGTCTCCGCTCTTATATTTTTGTGGTTTTTTTTTTCCTATTTTCTGTGAACCTTTTTGTTGTTCCTTTTTTAATCTATTAAAAATCTTCCCATTTCCAAAAATTTGGTAAATGGTCATTCCACGAGCCCATCAGGCGCGTGGAGGTGGAAGTAGCATTTAATTCCGTTAAAGACCCCAAATGCTGGTAAACCATCATGTGGAGGTTGGTCTTCATCAGCAGCTTTGGGTTTTTCTGACAAAAGAACGGTTCTGATCTAATAACTGAAAAAACAGACGGCTGAGATCTCTAGTATGTCAGCAATCTGAACAGAGGCCAACTCGAAGCGTGACTCGGCGGTGAAGCGAGTGAGTGAGTAGGTAAGAAGTCTATAAATGTGCGGATATAATTAATTAATTATTTATTTAATTATACAACGGCAAAACAGAAACAAAACATGTGACCGGGTGTAGCCGGTGGGAGTGGGATCTGACTGGCGAGCTACGGAACCTGAAGAGCCGGTCACCAGGTAGAAAGTGGTTTTGTTTGACTTGGACAAGATTTGGCCACAAGTGGGACTTTTTTAAGATTTGGTACTATTTGCTCTTTTCTCTGGACTGAAGCAAACCGTATCTCCGCTTAATCCAAATGTCGGCGAGCCATTTAAGATTTTTTTTTTTTCCCTTTTCTTTTCTTCGGTTGGTGGAGTTGGGAAATTGGCAAATCTATTTGTATTTTTTTTTTTACCACAAAAATCTGTTTGTCTTTATTCAGCTTGAATTGGGTTGCGCCATAATTGCATTTTAATTTTTTAAAAAATTATTGAGCATACTCTCAATCTATACGAGTCTTATAGGTTCTTTTATAACGAAATTTAAAAAAAATTTAACTCGAGTTATAATTTTAAGTTTATATATTTTTTTTTGTAAAATTTGAGTTTGAATTTGAGTTTGAGGTTAAATTCGAGTTCAAGTTTTCGCTTCAACTCGAGTTTATAAACTCGAACTCAAGTTAATGAACAATATTTTTTTT